TGTGTATTATTCATTACAGAAGACTTCCATAGTACTTTTGTTTAATTGATGCATAAGAAATAATTATCCCTACATAAAGTTTATGACATGGTGGTATAAAATCTCCCGTAATGTGTGTTTTAATAATAAAATCATGTTACAAAAAAAAATTAACATTTGGTTAGCTATACATATCGATGAGATTATCAACAATTTAGTTAATAGTAAATAATTTTTTCTAAACTTATATCATTGAAGACTTACATGTTTTTTAATAATCACGGAAGACATATGTAGTGCATTTTGGTAGTTAATAATAAATGAATTTTTGTTCAAACTTATATCACGAAAGAATTACGTAATATTTTTGTTTCTTAAAAATTATAGAATACGTAAGTATTGTATTTTTTTAATTGATGGGAACAAAATAATTATCTCTCCATAAGTTTTACGTAATGTATGTATAATTTACTTAACTGTTATAGAATGGTGTTACGTAAATCTTCCCTAATGTGTGGTCTAATAATTAATCAAGTCACTAAAAGTACCATATTTCATCAAACTATTATATAAAAGTTAACTTGCCCTGTGGAACCATGCTATATAAATAACAAATCAAGTTATGAAAAGTATCACATTTGATGAAACTATTATATAGAAGTTAACATGTCCTATGGAACAGTGCTTAGTAAAACTTTTGTAATATGTGGCAGTATAAAATCAAGTTGTCGGGAGTATCATACTTGATTAAAGTTTTAACTAGAACTATTGTTTAATGAAAATTGATAATATGACTAATATTGTAGATAATATGAATAATATTGTAGTTAATATGTAGTCAATACCATTGCAAAAATAAATCTATACCATTACAGGAAAACTACCAATATAAATAATATATACCATTACAAAAGTCAAACAAATACTAAAACAACCAATACCACTACTATTGCGTAATCAAAATAATATCATTGCATAAATAAATAAGTACCATTATAAAAAACGTAACTATATCATTTCATAAAATAAAACAATCAACCAGTACCAAAAGAAAATAAAACAATACCATTGCATAAATAAATGAGTACCATTGCCAAATAGAACATACAAAACCAAATCAATACTAAAATAAAAATAAAATCAAACAATACCAACATAAAAACCACTACAAGAAATAAATGAATACCAAAATAAAAACGAACCCAATACTGTATCAAAACTGAACCAATCGGAGATGGGTTGGAAAATAAAACAATACCATTGCATAAATAAATGAGGAACCATCAAGCTATTGAATGTCGAACAAGAAGATTTGAAATATTGAGATAATTTACCTTCAGCCAAGCAAAGATTCCAGGAAGCACATAGTTCAACTCAGATCTGCCATTTTTTCCTCAATCCAGATCACAAACACTGAGGTTGAACTTCAATGTATCTCTCTGTTATGAGAAAACTCCACCAGAACCAAACATAACGGATATTGAAGAGCAAGACAAAAAATTAGTGAACAAATTCAGAAATTCAAAAAGGGACTTGCGAAACAGAGAGAGGCGGCGAGGGTCGAGATGCTGGTAACTGGCAGTCGGAGAGACGGAGACTGATAGGCTGAGAGACAGAGAGCCTGAGACAAAGAAAAGCAGCAGAGGTAAGGGAATGACACCGCCAGCAGAGGTAAGGTAGCACAACGTAATGAGCCAATAATGGACAGGTTTCTCTTTGCCGAATTCGAAGCATTCCCAAACCCTAGGATCCTCCTCTAGCTGGACCTTCGTCGCCGACGATTTGGGTAGCAGAGAAAAGCCCAAGACTCGTTGTGGAGTCATCCCTGAGATGAACTGAGTGATATATGCGCTATTTGGCGTTTGGGCTGCCACTGGACACTTTAATCTTTTAGGTTTAACAAAGGATTTTCTAATTTGGGGTTCAAAATTTTCACACCCTAGCGCTAGTTTTAATTTTTTTGGAGCCAAAAATAAATTCTCGTTTAAAAATTGGGATCACACTTTGACATTGGTGGGAAGTGCGGCTAAGAAGGGGGGAAATTCAGTGGGAAGAGTCATTATATTGTACTTATCTCATAAATTATATCAAATCTTATCTAACATATGAGTTATAACATATAATATTACACCAAAATAACATATCGTGTTAGCCCGGTTTGACCCGGAAATATAGAAAGAGTCATTATATTGTACTTATCCTCATAAATTATATCAAATCTTATCTAACATATGAGTTATAACATATAATATTACACCAAAATAACATATCGTACTTAGATCCAACATATAGTGAAAATTCACAAACACTTATATAACATAAATATTCAAATGTTCAACTTAGTATTCCAAAGATTGAGTTAGGCGAAAAGAAAAATTGAAAAATAGGCACATTTCGCAAACTAAAGAAAAAAATGACACAATTTGACCTCCAACCCGATACCTAATAGCGGTCGGCCCGACAGTTGCGTGCGGCCCGTTTTTCTCACCCGGTCAGGGTCAAATTGGGGGAACACATCTCGGTGATGCTGTTATTTTTTATTTCTTTTTAAATTTTTGGTTTCTTTTATTTCTCCCATATGGCCTAAAGCCTACCCGCCAAAAAGAAACTCCTCCCGCCAAAGTCATCCAAGGAGAAAAGAGGTCTTTTGAATTTTTTTTAATTGAAATATGTTTTTCCCTTCCTCCATTAGTGATTTAGTGCGTTGCACTTAAGGAGTCGTTTGGAGAACAGGATTCAGGGCATGGATTTGTAGAATCCGTAGATTTTGTAGAAAGTCATGTTTTTTTGTTGCTTTTTGTAATGTGGATTTTAGCTTTAGATATTTCAAATCTCTAAAATCTATGGATATCAAATCTCTCATAATCAGAGAGATTCTATATCTTTATTCGTGAGATTTTTTTTCTCCTACTTTTTCTCTTCATTTTATTTTATTATCAAATTAAATATATTCATTAACAAAGTTTTAAATATTTCTAGAACCAATCTAATTTATTATTAAATATAAACATGTTATGTAATATAAAATTGTAATTTTTTTTTAATGTTAACAATCATAGTTACCAAACAATAAACATTTTAAAATCCATTTTCAACAATCCAAAAAAGTTTGAATCTTTAGATTGTTGACAATCTATAGATTTAAACTCATATTCTCCAAACGACCCCTAAAATCACACCTAGAAATTGTATTTTATTATTCCAAATTTATTTTGTTTATATTGAATTTATGTAGCAACGATTTTTGTCTCTGATTTTGAAACTTATCTAATACATTTTTAAATAAGACCAAATATTTTAGAGTCAATTAAATCTCTTTCCGCACATGCTATATTTTAATGACTAGCATAATATACAGTAGCAAATATAATAATTGACTCTAAAACTGTTTACTTAATTTATTTCATAAAAAAATATAAAAATATAAATGATATGGGTATAAGTAGCATTTATATTTATCTTTAAAGACTATTAAAATTGTCTTCATATGATATAACTATAAGTGACATTTGTATTTGTCTCTAAAGATTATTAGGTTTCTCTCCATATGACATAATTATAAGAGACACTTGTATTTGTTTCTAAATACTATTAGATTTGTGTCTATAAGATAAATGTATAAAAAGCATTTATATTTGCATCTAAAGACTATTAAATTTGTCTCTATAGGACATAACTATAAGCAACATTTGTAATTGTCTCTAAAGAGTAAAGACTATTAGATTTGCCTATAGAGACAAAAAAAATCACCTACTGAGACAAATAATATATTTGCCCCTAAAGTTTAGCTATAGAGACCACTACAACAATTGCATCTAATTATTTGCTTCTATAGACTGGTTTTCTTGTAGTGACTACTATTGTCCATCTTTCTTCTTCTGCTGACGATGACGACGACGACGATCGTCTTCTCCGAAGAGGAGGATCCATACAGGTGGGGTTGTCGGGACGGGCACGGCGGAGTCGACGAGGAGACGGCGGCCGCGATGATGCAGGCTATCCTTGACAATATGGTCGCTACACTACCATATAGAAGGGAGGGCTGGTGGACGGTGAGCGGCCGGCAGGGAGGGGAAGGGATAGAGAGAAGGGAGGGGAGGACGGCCAATGATGACAAGGGAGTGTCGGTAGGGTTTGCTTACAATATATAGAATAATCAGGTGTGATATATTATTATTTTCAAAAATACCCCTAATTAATTATAATGATTAGATTAAAAATAGTGGAAATAAATGGTACATATGTAGGTTGCCACGGTGACAACCATTTTTTTAGTTGCCACCTTAACTCATCCTGCATCGAACTGAATTAAAAAAGGTTGATATGCTTTGTTAGCCTGCTTGTATTTACACACGCCCACATGGGATTGCAAAACACCAATGGATAGTAATTAAGGCATTGTTATGGTAAAAAACGGAAGTGTCCGCTTTTATCGTATGCAACAGTAATCCACAATTTGGGCTACTTGCGGTATAATAATACAAAAGAATATTGTAGTTAAAATTTCACCATTTCAGAAGCGACCAAAATATTATCATTGATGAGTCTTCATTTGATAAAAGCATATTGTGATTTTTTAATTACCTTAGGTAGTACATCAGTTAATCGATTTGTAAGCAACTGAAAAATCCCTATGCATAATGTATTGCAAAATTGTGATTTGTAATGATATGTGATTATCAACGTTTATGAAAAGTTAGTAATATACAAAATTGTTTTTCTGGATCGGATCGATGATACTTACGATGATACGGTTTAACTAACAGAAGACAGGTAGGTGTTTAATTTATTCGAATTCGATCAGCCCTCCTCTAGGTTGCGATGATCGATGGAGTAGGTGCAACCACCACACCAGCCTTAATTTACTAGCCCTACTAGCTAGCTAGATGTTTGCTGTGGCTATAAGAAGAAAGACGGGCATGGGTTGGGTTGTAGCATCAAGTCAGAGAGAGAGAGAGAGAGTGAGAGTGAGAGAGAGCCTTCTTTGCCAATATATATATATACTGCTCTTGTTTCAGGTGATGGGGACAACGGTAGCCGGTTTGCCGCGGTTTGTGGTTCTCCGATCAAGGAGAGCCAACAGGTACCTGCATTACCTTTGGAACGACCAGTGGGGGCTGGATTACTACCAGTTCATCGGCATGAAGCGGGACCTGGACCCGGTGAGCCCGTTCGTCAAGCTCGAAGTCGTCCCTTCCACCACAAACCCATCTTCCTACGTCCACCTCCGCTGCTCTTACAACAACAAATTCTTCCGTGTTGTGCTAAGGCATGCATGTCCATCAAAACCATAATCTTTGATTTGTTCACATCTATATATTTATTTATTTATTTATATTTACTACGACGTGACGTGACGTGGGAGTGTAATAAAATAAAATAAAATCAAACAAAAAACAGGTTTGGCGTGTGGTGGGTCACTGCCACGGCGGACAACCCCAACGAGGACACCTCCAGAGTCGGCGAGTGCACGCTCTTCGAGCACGTGTTCGTCGGCAACCAGATCAACACCGTGTGGTTCCGTTACGTGCCCAACCAACGCCGTCTCACCTGGTTCAACAACCCCGCCCATCCGTACCTTTATCGTCTGTCATTAGTCTACAGCGCGAATCCCCTCTACGGCGACTTTTACGAGTTCGCGCCATGGGAGTCGTACGAGGACAGGATGAGGGCCAAACACTACCAGATCCAGACCCGTGACATGGAGATACAGAGGTTGACTGCCCAGGTCGCCGCCAGAGACGAGGAGCTCCGCAACCTGCGCCGCCAGCTCGCCCACAAAGACGAGGTCATCCTTGACCTTAAGGGCCGGGTGGCGGCTCTCAAGGCCTACCTGGAGAAAAGGAAGGCCAAACTGGAGTATGGAATGCTGACTCTGCACTCCACCGTCACATCCGCTTGGGAGTCGTTCCAGCTGAACGTCGCCTGTGGAATCGTAAGAATTGCAGCTGGTTTCGAACAGATACTCACACTGCCAGCGACATGATTGGACCAGACCAGACCAAACCAAACCAAACCAAAACAGACAGCTGTCGGATGGATGCTATACTTATAAAAGATGGAACGGAACTCGGTCTCCGCCAACCTCGTCATTTCGTTTTATTTAGTTTTCTCATGTTCGTATTGATCAAGAGGATAGACTTTTATATGTCTACTACAATAAGCTCGCCCGCTTTTGCAATGAGCGATAAGATGATATATTAAAGATTGATAGTTTGAATTTTTACCCCAAAATAAACAAGTTGTCATCTACAATTATATATACTTGACACAACGATGAACTTTAATAAGAAAGTATCATCGAGCAAATGATTTCTATGTTTAATATTCTCTCTGGTTCATATTCTTTTATCTTTTTTTTTTTTAAAGTTCATATTGATTCTCCTTTTTTATGGATTTCGGAATTAATCGCAGGTCTGAAAAAGTACAACTCACTTTTGGGTTCAATTTCATTCTAAAAAAAAGGAGAAATTATCATGGGTTTTGGTTCAATTATCATTCTCAACGAATAGATAAAAAATATAATTTTAAAAAACACTAAAACCGGGTTCAAAGTCGCTTTTACCTGGACGAATTATGTTGGATACCATGAGTTTGAGTTCAATTGTTAGCTTAACAAAAAGGAAAAAAAGAGATAAGAAAATACTAAAAAATATGAAACTTAGTCCCTATACAAAAGTCAGCAAGATAAAGCAAATTTGGTATGGATTTTCGGTAGCGGTCTTAGGAGAAAGTGGATGGGTACAACTTATGATTCCACCATGAGTGTTTGGAGACGGGTTGTGAATTATTGGGCGAATGTGAGGATTGTGCATAATAGATATGGTATGGATTTCGGTAGCAGTCGTGGCAAACGATGGAATAGTACAACTTATGATTTTGTCGATAAAAATTCGAGATGGGTAATTGTTGCAACAAGGAAAACAATGAACAATAGATGAAAACTTAGTAAACAATTATTATGGGAACCTAATGGGCAATAGATGTAGATCCAATCGACAATAGATGAACACATAGGTTATAGAGTAAGAGAGTGAGGTAAAAGAAGGACTTGAACCTTCCCCACTTGCACTTGGAGGAGTTTGTGAGCAGCGGCGGATCCAGGACATAAGAGAGCACTGGGCCGTATTTGAATAGAATGTTAGATACCATAAAAAAATATCTAATAATATAGTTTTCATTACAATGCTAATTGTACAAGAAGGCCTTTTAATTTAGAAAATTCATCAATGATATAATCTCCATCCATACTGATAATATACTTTTTTCAAAGAAAAGTAATCAACAAGAAATTCATCGCTCATTTTGTTGCACAAATCAATGTTCATGTTCCATTGCTGAAAATATTCTATTCATGGTAGTTGTTGAAACGGCTAGGTCAACACTAGACAAATCAACCGACAAATCAATTTGTATTATGTGTCCATCCATGTTTCCTCCATATTCTCTAATAATTTTGCAAGAGAAGAAACTTCATCTTCCTCACATGAGTAGTGCATTCTCCAAAGAATGCATCTCATAGCCTTCAAAGTCTCGAGGCTAAACTCTTGAGCAAGTTTGTAAATATTTTCTTCATCAAAACACCAGAAAGAACGGTTAGAATCTTGTGCCCCACTCAATTGAGGCAATCTAAACGATGACTCAGCAAGTTTGTAAATATTTTCTTAATCAAAAGAATGGACAGAAAACCAGCTCGACGGTCTGGCGGAAAAATCCATTTTGGGTCTGCTCATCTCCTCATGCTTGTTTTGTTTGGGGGAAATTGGGAAATTTTTTGAATTTTGCAAGAAAGGGTGTGCTTTAGTTTAGAGTTTTTTATTTTATTTTAATGAAACTTTACACTTTTAGGTTTTCATGTCTTTTTTTAAATAAAATCATTGGGGCTATAAAAAATTTAGTATAAATTTAGAGTAATCTTTTGGATATGGTCATCTGAACCATTTTCTTAGTTACACAAAATCCTATTATCAAATAAAACTAGACAGGATTTTAAATAGCACTGGACCAAATACCTAAATCGAAAAATTTTATAAGCACTAAACTAACTCTGGATTCGGAGGAGAGCTGGGCCGGGGCCTGGGTTGGCCCGGCTCTGAATCCGCCACTTTTTGTAAGCCACTAATGAATAGTATTATTGGGCGAATGTGATGATTGTGCATGATAGATATGGCATGCATCATTGGTAGTAGTCATGGCAAACGATGGAAGAGGACAACTTATGATTTCGTCGATAGTTTCGAGATGGGTAATTGTTGCAACAGGGAAAATAATGAAAAATAGATGAAAACTTAGGCTAACTCCAATGGAGTCGTTATTTATGCTCAAGTCCACATTAATGGCGATAATCGCCATTTGGTACTCCATTTCCGGCGAAGGAAATGCCGATTCCCTGCATTTTTTGGCAATTGGAAGAGGTGTGCCTGCCACCATCCTTTTTTATAACTTTTTTTTGGTTTAATTACAGGTTAAGGGTTTAATTAGTGCTTTAATCATGAAAATTTAGGGAATCACCTTTAGGTTTTATAAAAAGATTCGGTGTCGAATTTTAAAAAAATTATATCGGAAAATTTGTATTAAAAAAAGATGACGAACTATATCAAAATTAACATGGATAAATTAGATTAAGATGATCATAAGTACATTTTTAAGTAAAAAAAACTAGAAAAAATGAAAATCCCCAAATTTGGAGATGGTAGCATTAGAGCAAAAATTATGAAAATGGGGAGAATCCCCAAATTTGGGGACTAACATTGGACTTGGTCTTAGTAAACAATTATTATGTGAAACCTAATGGGCAGTGTATGTTGATCTAACTGACAATAGATGAACACATAGTTTATAGAGTAAAAAAGTGGGTAAAAGGACTGGAAACTTCCTCACTTGCACTTGGAGGAGTTTGGGAGCCACTAACGAATAGTAACTCTAATGTTAGGATTTTATATATTAAGAAATTAATTTCAGTTTTTTGGGTTGAGTAAGATTTTACCGTGGTGTGAATGAAAATGAGGAGAATAGAGACAAATCAAACTCAATTGTAACATAATACTGGCGAGATGTGAAATTCGAAATGCGTGTTTAAGTTTGAAAGTTCAGAAAGATTAGTAAAATAAGTAGAAGGAGATGGGCCCTTTACGTTGTTGTCTTTTACTACACACTCGGTCACTTTTATTTGATTGTTTTGGTACTACTCGGTCGAATTGGTTCTCGTAATCAACTAGAACCGTACAGAACTAATTGGTTTGTGCCTATCCGAACCAAGTGCCCTACCCGAGCCAATTTGTTTTTTTTTTCATTCGCAACTGCCCAACGGCTCGATTGAATTGTCCAATTTCCTACCAAGTTTGCTTCCATTCTTGACCACCAAGTTCAGAACTGGCATAAGCAATGCGTACATCAATACTTCCGTGTTGTCTTGTTAGGAGCAGCGGAGCAGCATGAGTTCTAGTCCCTATGATGTTTCAACCCACACAATCAAGATCGGGCTAGAGCTACAACCCACCAAAAAATATAGGCCGATACCCTACAAAATTGAGAAGCATTGGGGACACCAGTTAGCTAGGGACGAATATCATAACTTGCCTGAAGAAATATGATCTTAAGTGATATAAGGGACAATTGTTTAAAGTTATCTCCGAAAAAATAAAATAACGACTTTTAATTTTTTGTTTAGAAGATTTTAATTGTCCCCATAAAGGACGACATATTGTCTTTTGTACAAAAAATAAATTGAATGACACTCGTTTCCTGAAACCAAAGAATCGTCATTCCATTTATTATTCACAGAAATCACAGAACAAGTGTCGTTCCTGGTATTGAGGACGACTTGAATTTTGTTGTCTATTAAAAAATATAGAGGACAAAAGTATAAGGCACCACACTTTAGGGACAACCTAATCGTCTCCAAAAATAAGGGAGACGATTTTGCCTATTCCTATTTCAGGTGATGACTTTTGTCGTCCCCTAACCTTCTCTATTTTGTAGTGCGACCGAATCAACGACGGCATAGTGGTTAGTGGACAAAACCCAAATTTCTCTTCTACCGGCTGTGGGTTCTTACTTATCGAGCTAATGATGGTTTTTATTCCCAAAGTGGAATACCCAGAGAAAGTCTCACAACTATGACTTATCTCCCTCAACAATGTTTGCCTAAAGGCGATCACAAAGGCAGTAACCGACCGCCTCAAGCCTATCATGCGCAAGTTTGTTTCCCCACGTCAAAGCAGCTTCTTCCCTGGTAGAAAAACCACAGATAATATCCTGATTATTTAGAAGGTGCTACATTCCTTTGGAAGAAGATGCAGGGTATGAAAAATGGTATGGTGGTGAAAATTTGATTGAAAAAGCATATGACAGACTCTGTTGGGAGTTTTTACGAGACTCTTTGAAGGATATAGGTTTGCCAAGCACCTAGATCAACGATATAATGTATTGCGTCAAACACAACAAGCTGCAACTATTATGGAATGGACAGCTCTCACTCGCATTATTCCATCTCGTAGAGTCCGACACGGAGATTCTCTCTCACTTTATATTTGGAAAAATACACTTGTATAGCCAAAAATTTCGCATTAGTGACAATAATAGTCAATTTTATAGAAATACCACTTATAGCCACTTCTGTCCAATTCTTTAACAGTGTTATCTAACAAGCTGACAGGACATTGAGAAATGCCGACATGACAATATTGCATCAACAACACTGCACTCTTCTTCTAGAACCTTTCCACTCTTCTTCTAGAAGCAGAACCACCCAATCGACGAACCCTACACTATTGCCGCACAACCCCTCCTTCCTTTGTAGCTCCTCCGTCCCGCACATTCATCCCCAGAATTTCCCCTCACAATCATCCCCAATCCCTCCTCCTCAACGACAAGCTCAACCTCCGATAAAGGGACGGATCTTGAACTTGAGACTTTTGGACACGATGGCAACGGGAGGTGAGCAAAGACGGCGAGGCGGGATGCCGACAAAGGTTACTGATCTAG